ACACAGCAGCTGCCCAGGCCTTGCATTATCTTTGTGGCCCTTCTCTGCACCCTCTCCAGCCTGTCCACAGCTTCTTTGTACAGCGGGGACCAAACCTGGACCCACTATTCCAGGGGTGGCCTGGCCAGTGCTGAGTACAGTGGGAAGAGGACTCCTCAGCTCTGCTGGTGGTGCCCGTGTGGGTGGGAGCCAGCACTGCTGGGCTGATCACACACACAGCTCCATAATCCCTTCCAGGGGGAAGAGATGTCCCCTGCAACTGCCCGGGGCAGGAGCAAATCTCTTCTCCAGCCATTGCCCCTCCAACACCACAGCTGCCTGTTGCTGCCATCACTTTGCTGAAGCATGGCCAGCAAATTCTTATTAGCACAGAAATTAAAGAAATCTACTGAGAGGGAGGGAATGCAACCGATTCCCATCTGTTAGAACAGCATCTGATTGGTAATTAGAGTGGTGATGGCATTTTGTGCAGCCCAGGCTGTCAGGGGCACAGGTCTGGAAGAGCAGAGCCCAGCTGTAGATAAGACCTGCGGGAGCCATCAGCAATTAGTCCTCCTGCTCTCGTTAGAAGCAGCAAAGGGCTTCTCCCTGCCTTTTCCCACCCTTCACACCACAAGCCAGCCCCAACCCACCACAAAAAACGAGGCCACCTCCTCTCCCAGAGGACGGGAGGCACTCGCTCACCTTTTCCTTCAAACATGCCGATGAGCTGGGCCCCCATGGCCATGGCCACGTTGGAGATGAGGCAGGAGGCCAGCTTCTGGCTGTGGGACATGAGGTCGTAGCGGGGCGCGATGAAGAAGTAAGGGATGTAGGAGAAGAAGTAGAGGAAGCCGCCAAAAAACGCAGCGCCCAGGTTTGCGGCCAGCACAGAGAGGAGCCAGAGGGAAAAGGTCAATTGTATGGGGACACCACGACTGGCTCTCACTAGAGAGGAGAGATTCGAGCTGCCTGCACGAAGCACAGCTACCGGGGGGCAGGATGAGGAGATGCCCACGTCCTGTGGCAAGGCAGGAGCAGTGCTGGCCCCTGATCCCACCATGGGCAGCTGCAGAAGCATCCTGCCCACCCCACCCCAACCCACCCCACCCCATCCTAGGGACAGGACAGCCAGAGGAGGCCCTAATGCACGAATTTGTCTGGTTTGGGAAGCAACAGAGCACATACCCCCTCCTAGGCACCATGGGGAAAAGCCAGCCAAAAGGGGAAGACAGCCAACCCCATCCACACGTCAAAGCAGGTTCTCCAACACAAAGCCCAGCACAACCTCACGTAACCCTGGCGCTGGCCCTGCTCTAAGCAGGATGGACTGATGATCTCCAGCGCTGCCTCCCAACCAAAACTGAGCAGAGATTTTACAGCACAAGCCTCATAACAACACCCTCAGCCCCACAGGTCAGCAGTGCAAGGAGGCAGCCAGGGAGGGACTCACCTCTTGAGAAGAAAGTGCTAACCATGAAGTTGAAGGAGATAGAGGAGATGGAGAAGATGGCGAGGAAGGTGAACACCAGCGTGGGGTCACTGTTGGTGAGCACTGCTCCTTGCTTGCTCACCTACCAAGAAAATCTGGTTACACTCATGGCTGCTGAGGCTGCCCACGGCTGCAGACACGTGTGGGCAGCCGAGACCTGATGGGCTAAAGACAAACTGGGAAAGAGGTGAGAACACCCCAGCCCTCCTAGACCACTGCAGAGGGAGGACATACAGGCTGCCCTCGTGTGACGCAGGGTCTGAGAGGCAGGGGACACCTTGCTCAGCACCCAGGCAGCTTCTCATGGTGTGGGTACAAGGAGACAGGAGAACTCAAGTCTCTCCAAGGTGTGCAGGGTTGTGGGTGCAGGGTGCTCCTGCTCTGCATGGAGTGCCTGGGCCTCCCCGATGCCCATGGGGGTCCCACCCCCAGCTCCCCCCCAGGGAGGTCACCCCTGCCATGAAAGGCAGCTGAGGGGGGGCAGCGCTGCCCACCCAGCTCTGCAAAAGACCAAACCCAGCCTCTGCTACCCCCATGGAGGAGTCCTGAGACACCAGGACAGGACAGCCCGTGGCAGAGGAGCACTGTCAGCCCTGTGTCACCACAGAGCTTCTGGCCTGCAGAACGGTGGCCTGGGGACAGACACTCACCTTGACACAGAAGAGCACGGTGACAAAAAACACAGACACCAGGAGGAAGAGGAAGAACATAAGGAACCAGGCGCTCCAGTGCAACCAGTTGCTGAGGCCCATCATGTGCATGTACTCCTGTGGGGAGATCATCCCATCACCCAGGGCTGCACCCACACCCCCAAGCAGGGCCAGGGGCGAGGTGGAGACCCTGGTTGGGGTGGTGGCAGCTTTGCCCTGCAGCACTATTGAGGGAGGTGGCAGCCCCAGGTCCCACCAAAGTGGTCCTGCAGAGCCTTCGGTGTCCCATCCCTCCCCGGACAGGGGCTGTCACTGCCACAGAACACCTCCCCAGATTGCTGAGCTGACCCCAAAACCACACAGCTGAGGCCAGCAGGGCCACCAGAGTCACCCAGCAGCAGGACAACCCAAGGCTGAGGGGAAGCCAAGCCCTGCACGCCCAGCCCTGCTGTCCCAACCACATCGGCCGAGCTCAAACCGCCCCCACGCTGCAACTCAGCCACTCGGGGTTCTACACTCAAAAGACAAAACTCTTGCTTCCCACACCCTGACCTCCTGAACCTGCAAAACTCTTCAATCCACACGTGTTGCCCTCTCTCCAAGCCCCCTTCCAGCCCATCTGTCCAGCAGCCTTGGCCGCAGGGCAGGGAGCGCGGAGCTGCGTCCCGGAGCCGGGATTAGCGACATTCCTCCCGGGGGCTGGTTAATCCTCTGCCATCCCCACCCCCTGCTCCCTGGCTCCAAACCCCACGGGGGGATTTCGTTCCCGATTTCAAGGCGGCACCCATTGGGAAACGCCACAAAGGGAGGGGAGCCCCCAGGACGTCCCCCCGCTCACGCCACCTTCAGCTTCTTCTCCTTCTCGTGCACGACGGCGCGGACGATGTTGAGCGAGGTGTAGGTGAAGCTGAGCATGAGCAGCAAGGGCAGCTGGTTCTGGATGGCGAGGAGGAAGAGGTCGTTGACGTAGGCCGGGTAGGGGAAGCGCTGCACCACCACGGTGATGTTCTCCAGCAGGCTGCTGGCGCTGGCGTTGGCGTGGTACTGCATGATGGCTCTGTCCACGGCGTGCTGCACCGCCAGGAAACCCTCCCGGAGGTACCCTGCGTGGCAGAAAGGACACGGGGGAATAGAGCTGGGGCTGGGCTTTGGGAGGGGAAGGTGGTTTTGGTCGGCAGGAGGAGAGAAACAGCTTTTACAGGAGGGATTGCTTGGGAAGGAGATCAGGGAACAGAAAGAGCTTGTAGGAAAAGCAAACCAAACGTCACTGTCACCACGCTCCTGTGGACACAGAGGGGCTCAGGGAGGATGGAAATAGCAGCAATTTGAATCTCTCAGAACCATCACTTAAAAGCAGCTGGCAGGAAAACTCCATTTAAACTGTGGTCACCCTTCTGCAGGCACAGCTTGGGTTTTGTAAGGGGAGATCCTCCACCACCAACCACCACCAATGCAGCGAAGCTTGGACTTGGTCCCTTTTTACTGTACACCACGAGAATATGGGCTGCTGCACAGGTTTTGGTGAGGAAGAATATTTACACACACTTTTGGCTTAAATTTTTGTGCATTGGAAGACAGTGAAAGATTGTGAATTTTCAACCAGCTGATCAGTTCATTTCTAGGTGGGATTTCTGCCACATGTTACCCAAATGGCAACTCAAACTCCGCCTATAAAGCCCCAAACGAGCATTTGGAAAGGTTAAGTTGGTTAAAATGACCCAGGTAGAGAAGGAAAAGGTAAGAACACGAGATTCTGAGCAATGTTTTATATTAACCAATCTACTAAACAAACACGTCAGCGAGGGAACGGATCTGAGCTGCCGGTCACCGCGTCCTGCAGAGCGTCTGGACCAGCAGGTCCCACCCGCGTGGGCTCAGCTTTATTTACACTGGGGGAGCAAAACCTGTTCGTCCACTTCCTCGGCCTCTCAACTTTTTTCTGGACATCACTAGTGAACGATGAGGAAAAGCCCAAAAGAGGGAAATCTCCCCTTTGTGGCTGCAAAGGGAGCTCCCAAAGAAGCAGGTCCTAGACCAGTGCCAGCTCCATCAATGTCCCCGCTGCCTCCGGCTCGCTTGGTGGTTTGGCTCCCCTTAAAACTCAATGCTCAAACCACAAAATTGCTCTGTTTACTTCTAAAGCATTTAAGCAGCAGGATAAACAGGTCAGACCCTGAAATTACTTTTCCATTTGAAATATAAAAGGGAAAGAAATTAATTTAAATTTTTTTAAAAAAATCACGTTAAGTTAAATTTATTCTTACCCGAACCCGCTCAGGCCTGCAGTGCCCAAGAAGTCACAGGGTGAAATTTAAGTATTATTTTAAATAAATATAATAAATGAATATACATGCAGAAAACTAATTTCATTTTTAATCAACATTACTAATTTTTAAAGATAGAACTGTTTATTTAAAAGCGCAGCTCCTCAGTGAATCTCTGCAACGAGCTGAGTTGCTGGGCAGAAAAATCACCCCCGTGTCTTTGGGGGGTGAAAGAAGAGAGAGAGGTGGCCCTCACCTGG